CTAAAATAGTCTTACCCCACATAAACTCTCTCTCTCTCGTTGCTTTGTTTTACTTTCTTCACAACATTTAGAACTATCTGAATTTCTCATGAGGTTATCAGTTTGTTGTCTGTCTCCCCTACCAGAAGGCAAGCTCTCTGAGGACAGGGCCCACAATCTTTCCCTCTGCATACAGCACTACCAGACAGGCAATGAGTGCTTGCTAAATATTTATTGAGCAAATGATCTCCACAGTGCAAGTCATAATCAACTTCGTAAACAACACACAAAGGTCAGTCTCTGTACCTTGAGATCACACCAGTCCAGGGACACTGACCATCCAGAAAACAGTCTGTAGCCAGCTCCTGGCTGAAAGGGCAGATGGCTCAGGCTGGAAACCCAGTTGGCCCTCAAGGACTTCCCGTGCTCTCTCACTAATCTTCTCTCACCATCATTCCGAGTCAGAAGGCAGAGTACACTCAAGGGGCCTTTCCTGTAGGTTTATAAATAAGTCTGGGCTCATGGCTGATCCCAGACTGGCCTACATGGCAACTTGCCCTCCTCTCGCTCAGTTAGTAGGACGGCTCCCTGCAAGGTTAGCAAATAACCGTGGTGCAGAGAGCAACCCAGAACAAAAACCTGTTCTACATGTTCACACAAACACCACACATTTAAGATTCTCTCTCAAACCTCGATCCCAGTCTTTACAGAAGCAGTTCAGCCCAGTCCTACCCCAGAGTTAGCAACTGTCCATTTTTTTAAAAGATTTTATTTATTTATTTGACAGAGAGAGACACAGCGAGAGAAGGAACACAAGCAGGGGGAGTGGGAGAGGGAGAAGCAGGCTTCCCGCGGAGCAGGGAGCCTGATGTGGGGCTCGATCCCAGGACCCTGGGACCATGACCTGAGCCGAAGGCAGAAACTTAACAACTGAGCCACCTAGGCGTCCCATGTCCATTCTAATTCAGAACGACTGCCTGGCTTATTTTTTTTGTAAGTCATTTCATTCAAGTAAACACTGAAGTAATGCATCAACCATAGAGTGCTTGTCACTCGAAAGATGTTATGACTAAGCCCAAGCCATTGGCATGTTTACCAAGATGTCACTTGTGAGTTCTTTGGGAACAAATTGCTCAAAATGGTATTTGAGATTTTTTTAATTATTAAAAAATTGACATGAAATGATTTTATGGACACGACTTATATTTCTTTGTATATTGAATGCAACACAATAATCTAAGACTTCTTTTTATAAAGACTGACTTGGTATTTGATAACATGAAACAACAGGGCTCAATGACTGGAGACTATATATGCCATTTTATTACAGACAGAAGCCTTAGAAAAGATAGGTGCCTGTAAGGTGGACAGTCAACACATTGCAAGGTTTCACAACACAATAGGTTATATGCCACAGCCTGCATTTTACTCGTTGCATCCCTCGGCATAGGATTAGGCTGCTTCAGTTAGTGCAAACTCCTTGCCCTTGGGAGTGAAGAGCCAGTGAGGTAATTAACCTCTCTGGCTTGACATGAGGATAACTGAACAGTCAGGAACAGGGTTCTAGAGGCAGATCATTTGGAGTCAAGGGTCTTGGTTCTCTCACTTTCAGCTGTCAGGATATCCTGCATGAACTTGGGCATTGTACTTAATTCCTTCGGAGCCTGCATCTCTTCATCTGCAAAGTGGAAACATCTCCTAGATCTGTTAGTACAGATTAAATTGCATAATGTATGCAAAACATTTAGCACAGCCCATTCCAACTTCAGCTGTTGCCATTTATGAATTAGGAGGATTCTAGCAGGCAACTTCTGACCTCTCTTCTGAAAGTCTTCAAGGACTGCAGAACTGAGAAGGATGCAAGGCCACTTGAGTTGATACCGAGATTATGAAATTAACAGCATGTAGACACATGAGCTCAGGCATGGCCAGACAATTCATATGTATTAGTGGCATGTTGAAAAAAACACCATCCAGTTCAGCTGGAGGGTTGACTATAACAGTGCTTGTGGACATTAAGTTCTATGAAACTGCACAGAAAACACGTGTTACCTAGTCCAGGCTGCAGACATGCATCCACACAGTGGATATTATTACCATTTATGAGAACAATCCTTTTCCAGTTCTCCTAAAGGAAGTCACGGGTCCCTTACCTCCCAGAGTTACTCCTGTCTTCTTGATGTTTAGGACATCTTAGATTTATATAACTGTTTTCTGTTATGCATTTCTATGTGTTTTGGTTCAGTTCGTTTAAAATTCACAATATTTCTATGCAATATGCAAAGGAGGTAATGCTAATGCCATTTTTGGTTTTTATTCATTCTGTTCTATTTTAATGCAGGAGGAGTGTGAGACCCAGAGAGGTTAAGCAACTTGCCCAGAGGTCATGTATCTGTCCACTAGCCAGACAGTAGGAACACTTAGTTCAGTGAGCTTCCTTCCACATAAATGTTTCTCAAACTGTAGCATGCATATGAATCATGGGATCTGATTACAATGCAGCTTCTGAGTTCAGTAGGCCTGCGGGGGAAGCTAAGGTTCTGCATGTCCAACAGGATCCCAGGACTTGCTGCTCCTGGCAGCCTCCAGAACATCCTCCATAACACCCCAGGCATGTCCTGTCTGCTACTTTACCCAATAGCAATTGTACCCTTTGGGTCATTCATTTTCCCCCACTGGACTGTGAGCTCTGCGGCAGCAGGAAAACTATGCTTACTTCACTTTGACCTGGTTGTTCAGCACCATGCCTGGCAAAAAGGAACTGAAGGCATATTTTTGAACAGTGAAAAAAAAGCAATATATTTCTAATTATAAAGCCAAGACTCTGATTACTTATTGCAAAAAGATATTTTTCAATGTTCCTTTGTTGTCGCAAGTCATATTGTATTTAGTTGTAATTGCCAGGTCCCAAAATAACATCACCAAAGGATCCCTCCTGTGTCAAAGGGTTTAGATCTACACCTCGCCCAGAACTATGCCCGGGCCCAGTGGCAAACAGTCACACTCGCAGGCCAAGGGCATGGGTTATGCGAGGTCATTCTAAGGGCGAGGGGGAAGTGTAGGACAGGTAGGTGACTGAGACCCTCTAACACTCAGCGTGAAGGAAGTCAAGTCTCTTGTGCTCCCACCTGAGGATGCTGATAACACCAATCTATTGCGGCTTCAGTTTTTCCATAAGCCAAGAACTGTGCTACACGCTTTGCATGGTCATCTCATTTCATCCTCTCTACAAACCTATGATACAAGCACTTGTTTTACAGGTAAGGGAGGGGAGACACAGGGCTCTTAAACTGTAAGAGGCAAAGCCCAGATTTGGATGCAGGTAGTCTGGCTTCAGAGTCAATGCTTCTAACCACATTGTCTACTGCCTGGAAGCAGACAGGGGGAAAGAAAAACAATTTCCAGAAGATGGAGTGACTTTACTCTCCTGTCAGTAACTGATAATAGGCCCCAACAAATCCCAAATAGAGGGAAGTGGGGAGAAACCCATTACATCAACAGGACGTGACCCTTGTATCCAAAGGGAAGGGGGTGAATGTATAGTGTAGAAGTAGGATTTTCTGTTACAGCAAATGTTTAAATGGTTTAACTCTGTTTGGCTTATGGTTAAATACACAACACCACTGAAAGGTTAAGTAAGAGTCAGTTAAGTAATAAGTCTCAAAGGTCCCAGATTCCTTTCACACTTCATTAGGCCTCTTATGAAATCTTGCATTAATAATTGGGCCAAATCTGAGAAAATGGTCATCACATGGAGGAAATCAGAATTTTGTGAAGCATGTGTGTCCAACGTAAAAAGCCAGAAAGTCTAAAGGACAGAGTGACCTTTGCTTTTCAGACACTTAAAAAGTCGAAGTTCAACAGTTATATTTTAACACTGTCAGAAAATGAGGAAATGAAGAAAACAAGTAAAGAGAAGGCATTGTCAAGCAGGGTAAATGATCTCTCTTTTTCATAAAAGATTTTTTTTTTTTAAAGATTTTTTATCCATTTATTTGAGAGAGAGAGAATGAGAGAGAGCACATGAGGGGGGGAGGGTCAGAGGGAGAAGCAGACTCCCCGCCGAGCAGGGAGCCCGATGCGGGACCCGATCCAGGGACTCCAGGACCACGACCCGAGCCGAAGGCAGTCGCCCAACCAACTGAGCCACCCAGGCGCCCTTTCATAAAAGATTTTTAAATGTGGAATAAGAAAATAAATAGGGGCAATGCAAAAATACAGCCCTAGGACCTTGAATAAAACATTATTGTGAAAAAAAGCTAAGCTCTGCAGATTGGTTCTTAATCACACTCGTCTTATTATTATTTATATTTGGTGGTAACATAATGTGGATTGTCACTGCCCAAGACCTGGTTCTGCCGCTTCCTCGTTTTGGTCTCAAGCTAGCATAATTCTCCCAACATCCCATTTTTCCTTCTGTAAAATGAGGGCAACATACCTGCCTCTTAGAATTATTGTGAGCCTTACATTAAATGACATAGTGGGAGCATTTAGACCCAAATAGAAAATTGACACACACTGCACCTGTTTTCTCTCCTCTCATGTAAGTTCTATTCTCTATACTTTCTTTACAGTATTTCTATTCCTAACTCTTAAGTTTTTGTTGATAGAAACATAAAATTGTCCAGGGTTCAAAAAAACATACCTACCTCCACACAGATGAGATAAGTGTACAAGCAAATGAGTATAAACTACTGGCATATCGTATGGAAAGATTATCATATGTTAAGCTTGGTGTGTTAAAAATAGAACCAGATAAAATTTCAGGTAGGTATGCATCCTGAAAAAAAAATCACCCATAATTACACTTACAAATTTTAGTCAATCTACCAAATTACAATCATGTTAAAAAGTCAAGAAGTTTTATGAATCAGTAGTGTAGATTTCTGGAGAAAAAACACATTAATTTTTATGATGTTTTATAAACCTTAAGATACTAAACAGTACATGATATTGTTTTGATTGTAATGTCCTTTTGGCTTCTAGAATAACTGGAGATCAAAATAAAATCACTCAACAAATGAAACTACAAATTTTTATTCAGTGGAATTAATGTGAAATTTACATGTTAAGCAAGGGAACTCAGCTCTTTAGGAAGTTATAATGACATATATAATAGACATAAAGTCAACAAAGATAACAAACAAAATTTTTAGAAGTCTTCCAACAATTTCATCTTCTGGACTTGCGGGAATAGTAGTAGACATTAATATCCAGTTTTTACACATCATATCCAGAATGTTCTTGCTCCCTAGGGGGAAAAAAAAAGAGAGAAGTATCCTGAAATAAACATATTTATTATAATCCTGATTCTTTAAATTCAATAGAATATTTGTACTGTAAAGAAACAGTGATGAGGGAACATCTATACACATCTATAAACTAAAATTATTTTCCTCCTAATGAATTAAAATATTTTCCACCCACTCATTTTGACCACATTATGTCATAATCATACATTTCTCTACATGTCAAATATGCCTTTCTTTCTAAAAAGAAACAGCTTGGGACGCCTGGATGGCTGTCGGTTAAGCGTCTGCCTTCGGCTCAGGTCATGATCCCAGGGTCCTGGGATCGAGTCCCGCATCGGGCTCCCTGCTCAGGGGGGAGCCTGCTTCTCCCTCTGCCTGCCGTTCCCCCTGCTTGTGCGCTTGCTCTCCCTCTGTCTCTCTCTCTGACAAATAAATAAATAAAATCTTAAAAATAAATAAATAAAAAGAAAGAAATAATAACCATCCAATAAAATGATGGTTATTACAACTATGAAATAATAAAAACACAGCTCAAGGAACTATCAGACTGACCATCCTCTTGTCATGTTATCAGTAATTAGTTTTTTATGAAATCTCATCTACAAAGTCATCATCTCTATTGGCATCCGTGAAATTGTCCTTCTTCCCACCTGTATGGGCAGCATCACGAGGAAATGAGAATTTGAAGACATGGAAAAAGGCAGGTGATAAAATGTTTTTTTAATTAAACAACAAAAGGTCTTTTTCATTGTCTTGATCTTTCCTCAAGGTTCTCTCTCATTATTTTGGTCACTGAATAAGATATTCAAACATTTAATTTCCTCCACGTTTCTGTGTTAATCAAACAGTTTTTACAAATAACAGGAATTTCATAAAGTATTATGGAATTTTAAAAGGTACTAATGTGAGCTCTGTGTAGCACACTGTTGGAACATTCTACCGAATGCCTGTCAGGTAGGGAGTTTAGAACCATTCTGAACTCCTTTTTCAGGAATGCAAGGTCAAATAAATCCAACAATTTTCAAAGACTTGCCTCAAAGTTCCTTTTATACACCCAAAAAGGAGCGTCAATACATTTTAAAAGTGGCAGTGTTAGGGTAGAAGAATATTTTTTGCTATTTTCACTCAAAAACCAAAAAGGCAGGTTGAATTGTGAGAGGGAGGGGAAGAGATGAGGTTTGGATGGTTTTGTCTTCTCCCAATTTAGCAATCTTGGTTAAGTTCTGTGATAACTAGCCCCATTCCTGGAGGAGGGAATGGCAGGCCCCAAATTACACAGCACTCACTGGCAAAGTAAACACCTAGAATTTCCCTGACATTCAACGATTCCTTTTGCCTATGTTTCAGAAACAAGGAGTGAGAATAATCCATGGGTTTGCTAAGTATTTCCTTCACTCCTATGGCCGTGGCCTCCAGCTCATGTTTCTTTAATCTGTGCTCTGAGGGGCACCTTTACTTTCCTCCAACAACAGCAAGAGACCAAAATAGGAAGTGTGGGAAAGACCAGAGAGCTGGTAGGGACTGATGAGTGAGTAGAAACCCGTTTCCCACCTGACTTAATCCCAGGTAGTGGTAGTTAACCCTGCTCCTTAGTGTTCACTCCCTAAGCTCTTGCTAGAACAAAATGCATTCAGACAGGTGGTCTCTTAGCAACCTTGGTCCCTGTGTCAAAGCACATTAAAAAGGTTTTATTGCATAGTGAGATAGTATACAAGGAGATAGTATACAAGGAGCAGAGAGGCTGCTAGTCAGGAAGATGTCAAAGAGCTGACTTCTGAAAATACGACACTTTAATTTTAATTTATCACAGATTTGTGCAGCTAAACACTGAAATTTTAACAGATAGGTTAAGCTGAATTCTAGGGTTTTCCTGGCAGGGCAAACATTCATCATGTCTTTTAAACAATACTTCTCAGGGGGTGGGGGAATGGGAGAAATGTTGTTGAAAGATACATACAACTAGTAAGAAAGTTCTAAAGACCTAATACCCAGTACAGTGATTATAGACAAAAAAACTATACTATAAACATTAAACTTGCTAAGAGACTAGGTTTTAATTGTTTTCAACACGAGAAGAAATGATAATTATGTGATGTGATAGAGGTATTAGCTAATACTACTATGGCAATCATACTGCAATATAAAAGTATCAAATCAGTATGTCCTACACCTTAAACTTATGCAGTGTTGTAGGTCAAACACAACTGAATCAAAAAATCCCCTAAAAATTATTTTAAATATATTTGCTTAATATCTTCTATGACAGCATACAAAACTTCACCGTCTACGAAAGACCATAGTTCATGTGATTGTATGTCTGCTATAAATTCTTTTTTTATAAAGATTTTATTTATTTATTTGACAGAGAGAGAGAGACACAGAGAGAGAGGAAACACAAGCAAGGGGAGTGGGAGAGGGTGAAGCAAGCTTCCCACCGAGCAGGGAGCCCGATGCGGGGCTCGATCCCAGGACCCTGGGACCATGACCCGAGCCGAAGGCAGACGCTTAATGACTGAGCCACCCAGGCGCCCCATGTCTGCTATAAATTCTTAAGGTTTAAAATTTTGTATCACTTTTATGAACAAATTAGAAAGTGCAGGAGTAAATTTATTACAAAAGACCAGGCTATAAAATTTAGGAATAAATGGAAGATTATTTATCCAATAAAATGATGGTTATTACAACTATGAAATAATAAAAACACTACTTAGAAAGTTATGTTTAAATATTTACATATGATTAAAACCCTTACCTTACGACCACCCATTACACTCCTAGGTATATACTGGGTGCATGGATATCCACACCAGGACACACATTGCTCATAATATTCTCCACTTAGAAACAACCCGAGTGCTGCATGGAGCACTGGGTGTTATGCACAAACAATAAATCATGGAACACTACATCAAAAACTAATGATGTAATGTATGGTGATTAACATAATAAAAAAATTCTCAAAAAAAAAAGTCATAAAAAGCAAGAAAAAAAAAAAAAAAGAAACAACCCGAATGCCCATTAGCAGATAAACAGATAAATTCATATAATGGAATACTACACAATACTGAAAATTAAGCTACAGCTACATACAAAAGCAGGGGTAAATTTTACAATCATAATATTGAAGTTTTAAAAAGCAAGGCACCAAAAGGGCGCATGGGTGGCGCATTTGGTTAAAGCAACCAACTCTTGGTTTTGGCTCAGGTCATGATCTCAGGGTTGTGAGATTATGCCCCCTCGGGCTCTGCACTCAGTATGGAGTCTGCTTGAGCTTCTCTCCCTCTCCCTCTCCCTCTGCCCCTCCCCCTGCACCCTATCTCTAAAATAAATAAATCCTTTTTTAAAAGTGTGCAGTTTAGGGGTGCATATGTGTATGGCAACAGTGTAGGAGGTAAATTTATCAAGAAAAGCAAGGGATTGGCTACCATACATCAGGATGGGGTGACTTCAGTGAGGGTAAGGGGGGGATAGGCGGGATGAGGAGCTGCCAGCGCTGTTTAATTTCTTGTCCTGGGTGGTGGTTACACTGGCGATCACTTTATAACCACTTGTTAGACTGTACATACAAGCTTTATGTGCTTTTCTGCATGTATGTGAAACTTCACAACTGAAATATGAGGAAAAAAACCCAGAAATATCTACAAACGATCACAGAGGCCAAGTTTGGAAGGAAGGACTATATGTGATTTTTTTTATCCTTGCTGTTTCCATTTCTTGATTTTCATTTAAAAAGACATTGCTTGCTTATATAACTTTAGAAAATAAAGAAACTAGTTTCAAAATTGCCAGTCCTCTTCCTTCTCCATATATACAAAATTGACGTATACTGATTTTATTTTGCCAAACCAATCATTTAAACAAGTATGAACTGGGGAAAATTAGATTTATCCATGAAACATTACAAATTACATATTTTCAATTAAAATGTTTCGCTGATAAACTTAACTTTTCTTGAGTTCATTTTAAGTCTCTTTTGCTAAAGAACATGTTCTTGTCTCGTTCAAAATGCTCATGATCAACAGGAATATGGGTGGTTCCTGTTTGGTTCTTCAACTTGATGATAGATCTGCTTTTAGATCTAAATCATTGGAAGGACACAGACTTGTATCATCACAAGCTTATTAACGTGCTCAGATTTTACTGTGGATTAAAATTATGAGTGTCACTGCACTTTGATTTATGTTTTGTTTAATTCTTACTTAGCTGGGCACTTTGTAATCAGGTGTTTTTTTCTTTGGGATTGGAGGGACATTCTTTTTTGGGGGAAAAGCTATTTAGAAGCAGCAGTTTTCAGGGGAAGAAATGATTCCTAGTGTTTTTTTATTGGATACAACATGCACCAAAAATACAAATTTCAAACAAATTAGGACACTTTTAAGAGTATGATAGAACATACTGAGCGTGACTATTTCAAGACCATGGTCTTATCTTGAATGTAGTATTTAAAAATCATAACTAAAATAACCTCCAATTTTTGATATAAGACATCCCAGATTATTTTGGGCCTAATAATAGTTCATGTCGAAATTTCAGATGACTGCAAATAATTTATTGTCTCATTTGCAATGCTTCTACCTACCTTTCTTTTCCCTATTTCCAGAAGGCACTGGGAATCAATTTATTATTTTATAGAATGTTGTACTGAAAATACTCTCTTATCTAGTTTTTAAGATTTGTATTTATTTTGTCTTTTGACTCCAGGAAGAGTCCAAATAATCTAATTCAAAGTGACCCGTTCATTGTTTATCGAGTGGTTGAATAGTGGTATCCCACAAAGGAAGCTGGACAAATGGAGAGTAGCAATAAACTTTGGTCTCTGGGAGTTGAATTTCACTGTATTCCCTGTTCTTCCTCTTGCCATCAGCTTGTAGGCTCTTGCCTTTAAAACCTTTACAGTCTTGTTTTTATATAAAATGGGGCTTCTCAAATCAACTCTGACTTCTGCAACCATAAGAAGAGTGGATTTGCTAAATGGCTTGCCCCTCCCCGCTGTGAGACC